AACAAAATACCATACGACATAATGCTATGGAAATAGCTAAAGTACACAAGTTTAGTTTACAAAAAAAAATGTATATCACATAAGTATTTATATCACGCGCTGACGCTGTTTCAACGGTCCAGGGTTATTATTTCATTGTCTTATTAAAGTTTCAATAATTCAAATATGTCAAGTGGTAATTTACCACGATGGTTTTCAGGGGTAACTGCGTGGAGATCATGGTACACCTGGACCTGACATGGTACATTGCTATAAGGTTATTAGTCTACATTACTAACAATTCCCTTCCCCCAGTTATCATTAGACATATTACAGTTAGCTATTTATTTAAAAGAGAAAAGAAATTTCTCTCTCATTCTTATTGTGATGAATCTGCATTCCTAGTGAGTGGTAGGATAAAAAATGTAACTCTTCAAATTGCGTATATTAAGTTTATTTGAACAAAGATATTTTCTCTTTCTAATTTTATTACTATCAGGCTTTCTAGCCCATTTTGTTTAGTATTATAGTTTTTTATAGGTAATGTTAGTACGTAAAGACACAAATTACGTACAAAGAATAAATATTAAATTAAATTAAAATCAAATCAAACTAACAAAAATAAAAATCATAATATAAGCCTAAGTATATAAATCATATATCGTATGTTAAGTTAGACTTAAATATAGTATATCAAGTTAGACCTATGTATAATAATATATAATATTATATATTATTACTACATCGGCGAAAACTATATTTAATACTTAATCATTTCTTCTTCAATATATTTAATTTATGAACCTTTACATATGAACATAACATTTTGACTCACGTAATGGAGATAGTCACATTTCCACTGCTTATGGACTAATATAAATTAATTTTATCGAAACAGATATAAATTATTAACATCACTTTTCAAGTAGGCAATAAAATTAAAACACAGATTACACTCAAATGGTGATGACCCGACCATAGATAAAGAATGAGCTCCATATGGGCTATGAATTAAGTATTCGTTGATAAAAAACCGTGTCAACTAATTCATGATAATAATGGAGAAATGTTGTAACTGTTATGTTACAACTGTTTTACAATCTTCACGACTAATATCCAAGATGGAGTAGTCTGACTATATCAAGACAAATGTAACTCTTGATATGTCCACATCGATAAGTATCTTTGAATCCAACGTGACAAATCGTCTTGACGGCTTCGGTGGTCTAACGGTTTAGCACACTGCCTTACATCCTATGGCCGTGGGTTCGATTCCCTTCACAATACGTACATTTGATTATGTCGATTTCGGTATTTATTATGTGTGTTATGTATGTAGTTATAAAAAAAAGTATATATACTTTTTTTTTTGTATATTCATATCCGTGGTTTAATACCCATAACACAAGCTGTACTTATCTTAGGCTGATTAGATGGCGCTGTTTGAATTATCCCGAAGTATTATCATTATTAATATTTTAAAAGAAGATCAGCCTTCTTTCAGAATCATCTCTCTTTTGAAACTTTTGTTACACACGTTTTAATCACCGGACAGTTAATTAGAAAGATAAATTCAAATTTACATTGTTCTTGGTGTAGATCATATTTAAACACATGAATTTTGGATTTTAATACAGCTACTAAATAAACTCTTCATTGCAAAAAGAACCCATAGACAATAAAAGCTATGTAAAGTATTGTAAAATTACTCTATTGACTGATAATACCAATTATAGAATGTGGAAAATATGCTGTTCATGCCAGATCCAGTTCCGTGCATGCTACAGCCTGTTTTCATACATAGTAGATGCTACTATTATCAGTAGAGCATAATTATACAACCACTGAGCACCTTCTGATCACTTTCCAACACTTTACATTTTAAACTCTACGCCTATAGTAATAAGACCAACAACTGCTCACTTTCAACTCCCATAATGTAAAACTGTATTTCTTATTGCCTATTATTGATAATCCCTCCTATTAGTTAAATGATAGGGTCATTATTATGTTGGTTAACTTTTAAATATTACAGGGATTAGTTTAATTGAACCAAATTTTAATATATTTTTGTATACGGGTAATTTGAATATGTAAATTGATAGCAGTTCTTTTTAATAGACTTTAAAAAGAAGGAAGTGATTATCATTGTCAGTGTCTCATTATTTGTTAGTGTTATATCTTTTTTTAGATTCAATGCATTCTTTAGTCTATTGATCTAGTTTTTAAAACCTCATTATTAATATTTTTATATATATGTTATTATATATCTATAATTATGTGATGAGTTTGTAAACGTCATTATCAAATTTTTATATATATGTTATTATATATCTAATCGCCGCTTTTTCAAATGACAGTTTGTCATTGGGACAAGAACTTAAGATATTCATAGGAGCTATATTTTTGAACTCTTCAGGATAGAGTGTACTTTCAAAAGGAGATATTTCATTTATGAATGAGTGGACTACAACCACATAGGATGTGTAGTGGCGTTTTGCTCTTCAGTTTACCAAAATCTGCACATTTTTATTGAACACAGGCATAAGTTTGTCATGTGTTTACTTAATTTGCAGAATCCAGTGAGGGCCTTAGTCCTAGTCCATATGTTGTTTTTACTCAATAGCAATCTGGAATGATTAAAAGCTAACGGCTAACCTAATGGTAAGTGGTAACCGTCATCTATATACATGAATAGTATTTGCACCGCCTACTGTTTCTCTGCATAACCTGTGGTTGACTGGTAGAAAATGCCGTAAGGCGTTAAGTCCGCCATACGTACTTTTACCTTGGTATTTTGTGCATTGAAGTTATATGAATAAATAAATAGTATCATGCCTTGATACCCTGTTATATAACTACTATCTCTCACCTTTCAATTAAACACATCTTACAAAACAAGCTGCTTGGTGACTGAAATGTGACATAGAGGTACGCCATGCAGACGTCTTTGTACTAAATCTACCTTTAAAAATACTAAAATAAGTTTGATAAAGTCCAACATCGTTTTGCTCAGAATTCAAGGCTCCACGAAACGCCAAAAAACATCTCCTTCCATACGAATCCATCCCGTTTATCTTAATGAGCAAACTTTCTTTAAAGTAAAGCATAAAAAACGCGAAACGGCGACTTCCCTGCCAAGTGCTGGTGAGAGTTTCAAAGAAAAATTCTATAACAACTCTGAAAGAACGAAACATTAAAACGCCTAGAATATCCGTGTATTTCCTCTGAAGTTTATATTTCATTAACCTGAAATACTTAGGTGAACCTACAATCCAGTGTTAGCTATATTTTTGTTACTACGTTTATTTAATTCACTGAATTGTAGCAGAATTTTCGAATTCTATATTTTATTTGTCGTTCAAATACTTAATGGTTATATTTTAGTTTCTTGTGAATATCTTGTAATATTTCATGTCTGTCTGTTTTGCTCTGTAAATAAATTAAAGTATTTTTATATGAGATTACCTCTATAACCCAATATTCACTAGAACTCCATTTTGTGTGATACAATTCAGGTATTCTTCAATAATGTCAGCAAAACACACTAGAGTCAGTATCTGCATTCAAAATAACAAATCTATAAATTTCTCAACTTTTCCGTGTAATATGTATGTATTATACACATACCTTCATCTTGTATCCCTCTAACCACTGCTGAAAACCGAATTAAAGTTTATATTTTAAAATGATGTAATTTAAAAGATTTAAGCAGACGGAAACCGGTGACATTGATTTATGATATATAACGATTATACTAAATTAAATATATATATATATACTAAACCAATTATTTCTAAAGCATTTTTATCTAAATTCAAATTCTATACTATCGCTTGACGATCGCTTTCGCACTGATTCACAATCTTAATTAGAGTAATTAATTTGAGATTCGACTAAGTACATATTTTCTACAAGTTTACCTAACCTGAATCAGTAAAGTTTTCTAGCCTTGAGGCATTCTATGAATAATACTTTAAAATATTAATTCTCCGCCTTAAATTCTTTTTTAAAATATTGATCTTACTGCAAAAGTTGTTGTACAGTTCCCCGCTTGTGCAGCTGAAGTCATCTACATGGTATATGTAGATGACTTCAATTGCACAAACTACAAAATGTGCTATGTATCTATTTTTCAATAGTGACCAAGTGTCACAGATACATTTGTGACACTTGGTCACTATTGAAAACCTAGATGGAAGCATCTGAAATTTTAAATATCTGCGTTTAAATATTATCCAAATTGTTTTTGCTTTTACATTTATATGCAAATAAATAAACATATTTTTATATAGTAAGATAGACAAACACATTTTCACATTTATAATACTATAATACATAGACTATTTAAAAAAATAAAATAAAATATTCTCATCGAAAGCCGTTTTAATCCGATTTGTTCACAGCTGTGTTGTACCCATACATTCATGCTCAATTAGTGAAAACTAATTCGTTTCATTTCTTTATAATATTTTTCATATAAATTATTATTCACAATTCAAATTACAATTTATATTTCAAACTAAATCCCTAATGAAATATTTATTTAAATATTCAGACTTAGTTGTAAAAGGTAGCTACCAAACTAGACGTCAAGCTAGAATCATGAATCAACAAACCTCAAGAAAATTGGAAAATAGAAAAATTAAAAAAAAATACAAGCCATTCGCTTAAAATTAGTATGACAACTTCTAAGAAATAGAGTGTCTTTTTTTATTGGTGAAAGTGGTTTTATATTCTGAGTATTACCCGGCTTTTGGCTTATATTCTTTACAATTGTTTTTTTTTTTACGTAACTGGAATGGTAAAAATGGTCTTGGGTTTAAATATTACCCCTCCTGTGTTTTGATTCCAGAGGAAAGAATAAGATCTTAGGTGTAATTCTTTAATTACATATAATGTAACTATTTATTATGATTATTTACGAGCTATGTATTGTATATAAAATTATCTGTATTTATAGACAGTAATGTAACCTTTTTTATAAATAGATCACTAATATACCCCTTCTTTTGTTCCAGATAAGAACCGTCATCACCCGTGAATGAATATAAATCACACATCACCTCCAATTAATCATAACTGAAGTGCTCCAAAAATAAAAATGGCGCTTAAAAACATTTTAAAAATAGAACGGATAACGCGCGCACGCACCGGGGGAAGCTGAACTTCCGTTTAAAATGTAATTTAAAAATAGAATTCCGGATATAATCATTACTTCCCTTATGTTGAACGGAATTATTTTGTAGTCGGAAATATTCGAAAATGTCGAGTTCAAGTAGATTGAGGGTTACCAGTAGGTGCGTGAACCCACTGTTTCTTTTGTTGCGGACTATACAAGTGTGGATTAGTTTTGTTTTAGTGTTATTTCATGTGTTTGGTGTTTGTGGTGGTTATGTCGAGCAGAAATTTGCAATGGAGCCTCAAGATCAGGTATGATATACTTTATTATATTATTTTATTTAATGTAAGGTAATAAAAATATCCCTGAACAAGTCATACAGCGCCATCTAGTGCCAAGCTAAGCAGAGTTTGTATTATGAATATCTCATCTTGCTTGCTTGATATGCATCTCATCTCAAAATCATTCCGAACTGATAGTAGATTTGTCATATCATAAGAGCCTGTAATAAATCTACATGAATAAAGATATTTTTAATTTGAATATACTTCCATATATTTTTTGTGAAAACGTACAAATTACACGTAGAAAACACTCAGTTTGCTTTGTAAGACAGACGTGTTTCTTATTCTGATTATACAGCGCAATTTTGAGAGTAAAATTACAGGATAAGACAACATAATCATCACAGGAATGGCAATGCATGATTGCTATCACGTGTGTCAAATAATAACGATGTCCGTAGTGCTGTTCATGTATGTAGGTGACGGTTACCATTTACCATTAGGCGAGTCTCCACTTCCTTGCCATTCCAATTACTTAAAAAATATATTATAAAACGAAATGATTGCTTGTTTTTATGTTTGTAATGAATAATTTAATAACTACTAACACTTGCCCGATTATAAAAAATCTTTCACTGTTTAATAGGTGATATAGGCTATGTATTAGGTTAATGTTATAAGAACACAAGCAGAGCTGGGCGCAGCACTAGTCATAATATAAATATTTCTGTTATAGTACATATTTATTAAGAATATGTTTGGTATATAGATGAGTGTTAATTGAATTTTGATATTGAATAGACAAACATATACAAATGAAGGTAAAAAATATGTGAACACAATCCATCATCCTAACTCAGTAATCAGTAATCCTATATTCAGTAATCTTTAGTTTACCTGTGAAGAAGTTTAGCAGTTTTATTATTTTATATTGTAGCGCAGAAATATAATATATTTTTAGTTCATATAGAGAAGTTTGCACAACTTCTCAAAATATTTTTTTTTATAATAATATAATGCAAAAATACATTGTATTAATAAAATTTTAATCTAATATTCTTGTGTCACAGTGTTTGTAAAACTATCTTTTTTAATATCAGTTGAAAAAGTATGTAACTATGTTAGGTAAGTAATACAAATTAAAATATAAATGGAAAGTTCTAGACGATTTTCCATTCGAACTATTTATTTATTTTCGGCTCCTAATATTGGTTCCTTAATAAAACCATCGTAACTTTCTTCTTTACTTTCAAGCTATTTATATAATTTGAAAGAAATACAATACACAATAACTGTGAAACGGATGCTTACAATTAATTTATTTAGGACAAAAATTGTCGACTTTTATTACAAAAATTTCAGCGTGAATAGTGGCTAATCAAAACACGTGTACCGATTAAATAAGTAAAAAAAATGCTAGTAAAAAAGTTAAACCAATCTTGAACGCTGCTTGCGAATGCAATCGAGTAAATTGGAAATATATGAAAAAACGAGCCTCCGTTCGTTTGACCTAAATAAGTTAAAAAGCCAACCATAGGCATGTTGAGCACACATTAATACAGAACAGTAACTATACAAAATTTTTAAGCTAAGTCTAAAGCGGTATATTAAACCGCTGGACTACTAAGGTTATTAGTTAGAGAATATCAAATTAACTAGCCTTTTGAAAAGTTTTTCTATTTTAACCAGGAGTTGGTCTTCAGCCGCTCCATTAGTTCTTCCGTGGATTTGTAGCTTCCGCGGATTTATACATATAATATAATATAACACGAAAATAACTGTATTACAATTAGGTTTAACCTTGTAACAGCAAATTGGATTTTAATTATAACATAAACAGTAATCTATTTCTAAGAAGCACTAATTATGATGACGACTTAGGCTTTGAAGCCGGCTACCGCAAGGGGAAATCCCAAGTAGCGCCCGTGACTTTTGACACGGGTGTAGGTTTAAAAGGCCCTTTTAGAATGCATTAACACTCACCTTCACTACTTGCAGCTTCCCCCCAGGCCCAACTAAGACCGGGATAAACCCATTTCTAATACAATTCACTTTATTATCCAAAACACAACCGGCACGCCCTGCGCTCGTCGACTGAATGCCCGTGACTCACCCAACCAAAGAGGATTATTCAACTACCGACCTCCGTATTTATAAACCGAAGTTAATGTAATGAGAAGAGAAGCGGGGGTAATGGATATCTTATCACAAATAACTTAGTTCGGTCTGTAAATACTAGATGACGCTATTTACAATATTTGTAATAATCTTTACCTTGGGTACTTCATTAGTACTAAACACAAACTACCTTCTTTTAATATATTTTTAAAATATAGGATTTATTCTACAATATTGATGTGAACTCCAACATATTCAAATATATTTAGCTCCCTACTTCAATGTAATACCAAATTATTCCAGGAACCACCTACATACATTGAAGGGGTAGTTGTAACACGGCACTCCATGCGTAAAATCCTTCATTTAAAGTTCTAAACTAGTTTCTATTATAGAAACTTCGGTTGAGGCCCAATTGATTGTCAGATAGTGCAAGTTGCTAACACAGGCCGATTGTTATCTTGGCAATTTCGGAACTACCTACAATCGTAGCAGGTATTATGTCATAACTTCGTAATGATGACACATTGCTTTTATTAGTTTCCATTCATTTATGATTTCTTTATCCTATACCAATATATAAAGACAAAATACTTAAATAGATAGAAAGACTTTTTCATTCGTGAATTTTGTTTTTAAAAGGAGCACAATATTTCCACTTCATGTTTTAGATCCTAAAAGGTGTACAAAGTTGCCGCTGCGCGTATTAATCATGATATATATTTATAATTGACGACCTCGGTGGTCTAGCGGTTTAACACGCTGCCTTAATTCTGATCACCAGTACGATTCCTCTCACGGCACAAAAATTTTGTATTCATGAGTTCGATTGTTTATTTCGGTCTGGGTGTTTTCTATTTATAATATGTATATATGTATATAATATGTGTATATGTATTTACGAAAAACTAATGTATTTGTGTCAATTACCTAACATCCATAGCACAAGCTTTAGGTAGCTTAATTTGGGTCTAGATGAAGCTGTGTGAATTGTCCTGAGATTATTATTATTATTTATGCATTCCGATCCAACATTTTCACATTTCACTAACAAAGTCACAGAAGATAGTAGTTTAAAGTTACATGTATCATATTATATAGTATAAATTATGATGTGTATAATATTTTTTGTTAACAGACAGCCGTGGTGGGCTCAAGAGTCACGTTGCCTTGTCGGGTGGAGAAGAAGGCAGGTCAACTGCAGTGGACGAAGGATGACTTTGGACTTGGTCTACATCGAGATCTCAGTGGTTACGACCGATATAAAATGATAGGGAGTGATGAAGAAGGTACGTAATCAATCTTTATTTACCATGTGGAAAATTATTTTTAAAAGTGTCCTTTATAATGAAGATTTATAAATAAAAAGCATTATTGTAATTTCTGTGCTTGTCTGGATGACGAATATCTTTAGCTATAGAAATAATTTGTTGGTTATTCTTCTCTTCTCTTCTTTGAAGAAGGTAGTCTTGAGAGTTTATTAAAGCTGCTAAAATTGAAATCAACGATATTTAGGAGTATCCTAAACATGTAAAGAAAATATGTAAATTCCTTGTACTTCACTTTAGTTTTTATCTAAGACTTATAACGGACTTCTATTCTTCAATTAAAACATTATGATATATTCTCCATTTCAATATATATTTTGATAATGAAAATAATATGTTTTTATTTCGTATTCTTTAAAAAACTTTCTAATTAAGTTAAAATAACATAATCATAAAAATATACTAACAAAATGAGTTAATCATCACTTATAGGCACTGGTATTTAGAAGTGCACAGCCAAGACCTTTTTAATGGCCACTTATTTAGATTACCCGCTTTTCAGGATATCGTTGAGTTTCTTAGGGAGGTTTTCGAGATATATTTTAATAAAGTCCATATTCCGAGAAGTTAATTACATTTGCCACGGCACGTCTTTGAATCCAACTGGCTGCTAATCTAATTAATGCCGTCATTATCTTCAGACTTGACTTTTTTTATGAAAGAACCGTTAATAACTTTTTCTTTTTCACAAATGTTCTCGGTTCCTTGTCAACAGAAGAGGCTTGCTTGATTTGTTGTAATTTGATTGTTAGATAATGTCCAGTTGTTTTAGCTTTAAAATTTAGAAGTGACTAGATTATCCGTGTGACTTCGTCTGTGTTATATAAGAGAAATAGAAGCATTAAGGGTAACGATAAGGTAAAGATTCCAAGTTTGCGACATTTTTCACTGATCACTCCATTCCTGTAACTAGCGTTTGTTATATAGCCTTCCTTCAAAATTCATATTCACCACTAAAATACTTTTTCAGTTTGAATTTGTAGTTGCCGAGATCAGAGCGTTCAACTATTATTTCTTCTAGTTCTGTTAAATTATTATTTTTTACCCACTACTATTACTAATGTAATATTATTTATATCTAAAATATGGTAAAGAAACTCACGGCGGTAATCTGCCACGGTAATTCCTGTACTCAGCTATTTATCTGGTTATTTTCTTATTTCAACTTCTTCAAGTCTGGTATCTAATCTTTATTCTTGTTCTTATATACAGTATAAAATGACACTGTCTGCTTATAATCTTGAGAAATAGCCGATAACGTATACCATTAGCACAGGGTGCTCCTTTTCATTATCATCAACTAAAATCCGTGTATAAATAAAAATATTGTTGTTGCAGGCGATTATTCATTGGACATAAGGGATGTTACGTTAGAAGACGACGCCAAATACCAGTGCCAAGTCAGCTCAGGAGCTAGAGGTATGTTTTACTATTATTTATCTATAACTATAACACTATTAGGGTAACTATCAGTAAATATATATAAATATAGATAGACATATATCTGTCTCATCTATCATCTATAGCTGCCTTCAAGCTGCTTGCTTTTTAAGCCGCGTACTGGCTTGCAAGAAGAGGTATGCCAGTGAAATTACAGGGTATTAAAGCATGACATCTTAGTCATCAGGTATTCCTGATGCGGCGACATATCAGAGATACCAGATGATAATATTCAAGTATATAGGCTAAAAATATTTATTTATTACTCTTTATAGCACCTGAAAATACATAAAATAATAAATTTATAGAGTATGAAGGTACAAAAGATGGTCATACTGCTTAACGAATTTCTTCCTTACTACTTTCTAAAAGGTTTGTTTATTAAATGACCTTGTTTGTCATTCCAATTGCATAAAAAATTTAAAAAAAATATTGACTTCAGTGCTACTGCAAAATATATGTAATATGTGTATAATAGTATTTGAATCAAAATACACAGTATACACATGTAATTCACTAGCTATTGCCCGCGGCTTCGCTCGCGTTAATTTAACCCCTTAGGGGTGGAATTAATCAAAATCCTCGTTATAACATCTACCTGCGTGCCAAATTTCAGCCCGATCCGTCCAGTGGTTTGGGCTGTACGTTGATAGATCACTATGTCAGTCACCTTTGTGTTATATATATTTAGATTATATCACTTTAATTAATTTATATATATATTATACTAACTACATTAAAGAATTCAATGGTCAACCGTAGATTATTTAAATTACAGTAGAATATAATAGGCTTTATTAAAAAGCAATAAACTATCACACTGCTACCATATTTAAGAATTTACAACAGTACCTACCCCCGTATTGTAATAACAGCTATTAATGAAAAAGTATTGTTGTTTTTAAGTAAAAAGTACATCAAAATTGGTCGAAAAGATACAGGTAATTTCACTTTTAGACGGTTGATTACAGATTTGGTTATCGACGATCCCACGGTACTCGCCCGATAATTTAAAACAATAAATCGTTGACGCATACAGAAATTACGGTACAAACTGTACAAACAATTCGCTTTTAACTTGGAAAGTACGCAATAATGAAATTTATACAAAATTTGAAAAATATGTACAAATTTTCTTTTAACTTTTGCCTTTGAAATAAATTCAATGTTATTTATACTTTCGAAAATTTATTACTAAAGAAGATTTTGTATGAACTGACATCAAAGGTTGACTTTAGTTTTTTTGTAGGTGTGATACGATACCCTAATTATATTGATCCGTTTTTTATTATATTCATTAATATTGCATATTTTCTTTTAATTTAGATATTTTAAAGTAATGACATAATTAAGCTATTACTAATATGTTATTTGAAGTTTTTTTTTATTCGAGAATTAAATAAATAATTAGAAATATCTACTACTAATGTCATGTAATTGTTATTACATTAATAGAAAAGAAATAAAATATGTTTATTCGATACACAACAGTTCACGGTACAACAGTTAACAAATCTAACACAATTGGAGCACTAATTTGAAGCAATATTTATATGACCATAAAAATATAAACAGATTGTTAATTCTTAAACATTACCAACAACTAAATGAAAGAGAACTAGATAGTACATATTTTTAGAATCCATGACATAATTTTTCAGAGACAATTAAATTAGTCTATATTTTTTTGGTATTATCATATTACATTTGTCATTACTGCAGATTACTAATTTATATTTTAATGCTACTACAAAAGCTACATTACTCATTAAAAGGGGTTTACGTTTTCTCAGTAACTATTTCATTCTGTTTCTAGCTACGTTCAGAAAAAGAACTGGATTTGTTTTTAATAAATTGGAAATCTTATTGTACGTTTTACCAGCCCTCACTCAAACCTTTCTGTTTTTCTTCCTTTTTATGTGTACATTCTAACCCGTCGCTCTATTACACAATGGAAATTTCGTTTGTTCGGTATCTTAATTTGTTTTTAATTTCTCCTTTTACCCGTTCCCTTTTTATTTTCCGTATCTTGAAATTTTCATGGTATTTTTTTATATTCATTCCCTTTGTTATTTTATGTTTTTGTAGTGTAATATTTATGAATTTCTTTCAAATTAGAAAATAAGATAAATTTTATCTCGTCTTTTATTATATACCGTATATAAAAACATTTTTCAAGTTGCCGATTAATGTTTCCAAACTGAAATCGTATTTCCTCCTCAGAATAACAGCAGAACATTCCGTCCGGATATTTAAGAAAATTTTCTTCAACAATGCCAAATTATTCGAACTCCAAATCTTGTCAATAGGATTGTTTCTCATTCTTCTGCTATTTTACCTATTCAGTCAAATTAAATTGGGGATTATAATTGTACGTATTTATAATAAGCTGTCTTAGAAGTGAATGCGTCGATCCTTTCGGCTTCAAGTGGAATATCTTCTATTCAGATGCAAACGAAGGGGTTCATGAAATTAATTTACATAGTCCTTTATGAGGCAGTAAACGTCTATGTAACCTTTTGATAAATCGCATACTCTTTGAAATGTCTTTGGTAGGCTCAGCTGAGATAACAGTGGAATATTCTTATCTTTACTTAGCTGAACTCTTATGGCCCATTCAGCTTTTGTTTCAAGATTTAGGTTTAACTTTGTATTTCTTAAGTAATCGACATTACCCTCTATTTCTTTGATCGTTATACTTAAGCCATTAAGTAAATTTGATCTTCTTTCGAGATCAAATTTACCTAACAGCCTAATTGTGAGTTTAACTTTTTAGTGATTACATTGCCTTTAAATTTTGTATCATACTAATCTAAACTTGACGCAATTATCTAAGAGTTTATTTAAACTGTCTTGAAATCATTCGGGTCTTTAATGAAAGGTCCTGCAATTATCAAGTGAAAGGTTAGATAAATTTTCTTATAACTATTATTGTTTAATTACGTAGGAAGTGAGGTACAAGTTGTATTTTGTACAAAGTCGTCTGCGTGGGTTTCTTTGTCTAATTTATTGTAATGTAAGATATAATTAGGTCTAAGAGCTAAAAGATAATGAAATTTAGTATATAAAGCATGTAGATAACATACCTCCTTAGTGCTTGGAATGGCAATGTATGGGTGGTACCTCAGACACCACATGATTTGTGACAGGTACTGTTTCTTTATATAGGCAATAGTTATCACGTACCATCACGTGCTATCATTCTTACTTATATGCATTCATGATGTAATTTTAAATATGTATTGGTCAATTCTCAAAAACTATTAAATAATTGTTGAATAAATACTTACAGTATTCTTGATTTATTTATACTATTGCGATATTTTATTGTACCATAATTTACTGGTCAATAAAGTTTAAATAAATAAATAAATAAATATTTGGGTTATTATAATGGTACAAATATTGTTAATAATATAAACGTAAAAGTGTGTGAGTATGGATGAATAGATGGATGGATGGATGTTTGTCACTTTTTCACGCAAAATCTGCTGAACGGATTTTGATGAAACTTTACAGGATAACTTATGCATTAGAATAATACTATAATTTCGTGCGGGTGAAACCGCATAGCTAGTAATAAATACACAGAATTAAAAACTAAGTAACTGTAAATAGACAGATTGAATGGAGAGAAAAATTCTATTTAAAAATTGCAAAATCAAGAAAAAACATTATCGACATGAATATAACGGCTGATGAAACTGTTTTTTATCAACCGAAAGCACAATGGGCATCTCGCTTGCGGCAAAATTGTACAAGTTGGCACTATTTAACTTGCAAAACTTAGTTCGCTGCAAGTTTTCTCTATAGGAAACTATCTGGAGAGAAACTCAGGCCTCATTGTCTTTATTTCGCTCCTTTTAGTATTAAATTGTGATTCGGAGTATCACGAGTTGGTCGGGATGGTCGCAAATTTACGAAACTAACTTTGGTGACTCATTGAATTGCGCGAGATTTATTTCGAAGAGTCTCAAAAGTCTTGTAACTCATTGCCGCTGTGTTCTGAAATTTGTATTTTAATTTTTAACTTCAATGTTATTGTTGCAGCTTTATTTAGAAACGAGATCTTGGGAATATAAGTTTGATTTAACAATGAGAAGTTCATATTGTTCGTGTTGTTTTTTTGTATAGTTAAATAAGATATATATTTCATCATTATTGCGTTTTAATTCTTTAAAAAGCTTGTAATTATGATCATTAAATTTTGATAGGATTTCCAAGAAATGAGAATACACGTTCTATACATCTGTATTCGACCTCAAAACCATCATTGTCATATATAAAATTGTGCAAAAATTTATATTCTCATCATCGTTTCCAAAATCATACCTCAGGTTTATTACTTATGATATACCAAATCCTCCACTTCTTCATTATTAAAATTGTATGTTAATATAGTGTAATGACATTATTAATTAATTAAGTGACAGTTTAAAATAATAAATGACTCCGCTATTCGCTTAGCTTTTAAAAAAATAAGTTCACAATCAGTTTTTCCATATAGTTATATCAACTTTATATAACCTATTTAATTAAAAATATAATTATATATGTTATTTAATTACAATATACGAAAATGAAAAATCGTTACACAATTTCTACGCTGTACTCCAGTATAAAGCCATTCCATATTACTTTTAGATAGATCTATACTGAGCTACTGTTACAATTAGCCTAATTAACTATTAACAGCAAGCACTTAACTGTAATATATGTGTAGTTTGAATACTAGAATTATTTAAAAAACAAACCTGCTATTATTCCATAGCGCCTACAAATATAAATGCTTCTCCGGACAATATTTAATAATTCACCGTAAATAAAGTAAGAGATAAATATGCAAATTCTTATGTTTCATACATAATATTTGGGTAACAGTTTATTGTATCCATGTAAAATTTATACCGTCAACGTAGAATAGTCATTCAGATACGAGCCATTCTGCAAGTGTCAAGTTTTTACAATTTGAATACGAAATACTAGAATGAGAAAAATCTTTGCAGTATTTTTAAGAAAATCTTGTTCAAATCCACGTACAGAAAATAGAATCGGTTTAATATGATGTATCTATTATTATTTCTGTTGAATGTATCTCAGACAGAATAAATAATCTTACGAATAATATGTCTCGATGTTATTACAACTGAAATGATTTAGTTTATACACGAAAACTATTTGCATCTTTCACAATTTCTCAGACTTTAGTCCTCAATAGATGAAAAACGACGTAATATACGTATATATTTTCTTCTATAAAAATTTAAAAGAATCTCAAAATGAACAGCAATTTATGGAAATTTATTTCTTGCTGGTGTAATAAATATTGTATAATATTATTTTAAATGTCTCTGTGAAATTATTTCGGCTTAGAACAAAACATTACAAAATATTAATAAATAATAAAATAAGGAAAACCATACAATACAATCACGACTGTTAAACCAGATGGAGCAGTCAGAGGCATCGTCAATGTTGATGTAGTGAAAGCAACACTTGATATGCTTACATTTTGCTCAGTATAACAGGGGTCTAGCCTACCTCTGTCCTACCATTTCGCGGATTATTTTATAGTTTGATATTAATAATATAATATAATATATATCCCTGGTCAATTCACACAGCGCCATCTAGTCCCATGCTAAGCAGCGCTTGTAGTATGAGTAGGTACTAGACAACTGATATAAATACATAGATACTTTTTTTGTAAATACATACATACATACATTACACACATACATTCGTATGTAACGAACACCCAGACCGATACAAATAATCATACTCATAAATACAAATGATGGTACCGTGCGAGGAAACGAACCTGCGGTCATCGGAAGTAAAGCAGTGTGCTCAACCGCTAGATCACTAGCTAGAGGCCGTCAATATTAGTGTTTTCTTTTCGGGAGAGTCAGTCAGAAACGTTAATTTACATAATTATCTATTTTTTGGTGTCGACCAGATTTGAGTTTTGGACCACTTGGGCGTAACTCACCTAGTAAACTACTAATCCACGACGCTATAAACTAAATAATAATTTAGATATGATCTTTAATTTTATTTATCGTCTATTAAACATTATAATATCTCATTCCAATTAATTGCTATTGGGAATTCTATTGTTAAACCCTTGTTAGAAATTCCAAGCTCGAAGGCTAACGAATATTACTCAGTAAGTTTGGATCATTAAGTCGCTAGTATATTAATTTTAACAATATTGTTTAATATTAAGTTACATTCTTCATCCGTGAATTTAATTATAAATTTTACTATGCTCTTATTTTGAGCCAGTACAGCAAGTACTATATAATAAATTCCTTTTTTAATGCTTTAGAAACGAGTAGTAACTATATTTTTTTAAATCTTCATTTTTTATACACGTCCTCAACGGCAGTTCATAAATATCTAACTAGCTGTTTGTGTTATGCCATATAAAATAATATCGTTTAAAAAATAGGGGTTGATTGTAGAAGGGTGAACATTTAGGGTTGTATGTATTTTTTAATAAAAAAAATACTTTTTATAATTCGTGGTTTAAAACTCAAAATAATAATTCTGTATTAAATATTTTAAATTAATTTGACATGGGCTACCGTAATCATGTAAGGGTATAAAAATAGGTAACCTATTCTCAGACTTACCAAGTCTAGATATAAAATTTTATTTAATCGATTGTGGAGAAGTATAGCAGCTAACGCTGATAGAAGAATTTTGTATATATATATTGTAACTGAATCAAAAATATTAATACATTATGTAAGCTTGTGTCGGTAATTATTTTTGACGACTGTACTTAAATGTTGTAGGATGAAACTGTAAGTGAACTAGTTCAGCTTGTTGTTACTGTTTCATTACTTGTACTGAAAATAGGACGTAAAAAGCTTTCAGATTAAAGAGTATTGTTACATATTGTATGGTCAGAAAAAAAAGATCGTACATAATATATTTAAAAATAAATGTAGGTTGTGTAGAAAAATATATCTAAATCATTCGAGAGTGTTCTGTATAAGCTTCTTATTGGCGAAATATCATTCCCAGAGACTAGAACTCTAGAAATAAATTAGATAGTTAAGTGATTCTCCACACTGACCTATGAGCCATTTTGTATCATACGCATGCAGTTTTATACATTCCAGGTTATCATATACAATCTTTTTGCTCTGAATATTCTATATTGCTTGTAATTGAACCTATAAATGTGTACTAAAATATATAGATTTTTATCTACCCATTTTCATTACAAATCTTCCTTAAATTAGTAGTAGATGTAATAATTTCAATTTCAATTAAAGACATGTCAATGAAGTTTTAGTCCCACCAAATAATAACTAGAAACTGTATATTCTGTTATATTCACGGATACTACGGATACACCGTAGTATCCGTGGATATAACGTCACATGTTAGACTAGCATTAGATTCATCTGATGGTAAACGTGTAACCACTAGCCATAGCCAATTGACGCCTGAAACACCAGAAATATCATTTGTCATATAAATTAATATCGCTATTAAAAGTTTCTATAACCCTCAACCGAAATTTTTAATAGAAGGGTTTAATATATTATAGTCCACCCCAAACTTGTCTTTTATTTTAAGAACAAATATTTTTATTAAAAAGTTTTATGATACATTTTATAAAAAAAAAATGTTTACGTTCTATTCTCAAACCTACTGAACATACACACAAAATTTCAGAATAGTCAGTCAAGCCGTTTCGGAGTAGTTTTATTACAAACACTATGACAGAAGAATTTTAATATACTATTATATACTAGATTTATCTATTTATTGATTCTTGATAATTATCAATTTTAGGGTACAAAGATACTTAATTAAGTATCTTTGTTTTTATGTATACCCATAAGGAATTGTTTTAAGAACACGATATATATGTATGTATGTTTGTATTTTTGTGTGTAAATATTACAGTCGTGTTTTAAAGCAATTATGGTTTTAAATTATACGAGACAATACCAAAAGTAATCTAAGTTGAATATAAACTTTTGATTCATTACAATTGTTTGGTTTTAATAAAACTTTACCGTCGTATAAATTTTGGAATTAGTTGTTATATTTCAAGTTTATTTTTCAGTGGTTAAATTTTGTTGGTTTAAATTTATTGTGCATACGTATATGACAAAGCTTTTGAATTAATTTGAAACCTGATTTATATATTTGAACTAGGTTTGAAATTTTAATTAAACCGTTATTAAACAATTTAGGATTTTGTAAATAGTGGAAATAAAAGTTTTCACGTAGAGCAAAGACGTGGCATATTTTAATCGTGTAATTTTTTTTCATAATCGTTGTAGACTAATAAATATATTTGATGATCCTAAATGTATTAAAATAATTTAGTCGTTGATTTTCAGTCTACTTTCCTATTATTTTCGTACTAATGAAATTATTGAAGTCGGTTTGTTAGTGGATCAAATGTCTAAATAAATCTTTTACGATATTTTTAATATATATATATTTTGTAATACAAAAAAATATATATAATAAAGGTCAGATAAACAGTCCATTCATGCGCCACCTATCATTTTCTATCTTCACTCCTCTAACTAAAAGTTCTCTGGAAGAGATATCATATACAATAAGACTGATTTTTGTACATTGTTACTTTAATTAATATTCTATATAATTTACTTCTGGTGCAATAAAGATTTAATAAATAGACACGCTAAAATATGTACTCGATAGAGGAAAGTACCTCAAAAGAGGGTTTTTATAGTGATTCTTTAAAGGAGAAGTTGTGCTATTAAAAATTAATACTGCAAAGAGCTTTTGACGGTTTAAATACAATTAATATATTAAATTAAATTATATGTTACATGAAAATTTTTACCAAATGTTCTGTTGACCGTACTTGATATAAATTAAACCTTTTGTACAGGTGAACCAGCAATTAGGTCACGATATGCCCGCCTCACCGTGCTAGTCCCTCCGGAGCCACCGAAAATCGTGCAAGGGACTTACTTCTCTACGTCCGAAGACAGAGATATCAAATTGGAGTGCGTGTCCACAGGTGGAAAGCCACCAGCCGAGGTAAGAATTCAGCAAGGTCATCATATAATTTTCTTCAATGCTTGTCCAGACAATTTTACATTTCTTACGTCAAATGTGAAACATTTTTACATATATAAATATGTAGATAGAGAACGTTGTATTTAATCTAACAGGTCGACCTCCACGCAGTTCTCCCAGGACTCTATTATGGTTATATATTGGTGAATTTACCACGCTGTTATAATCACCATGGTCTGACTGAACCCTCATTATATCAACTTCCACTAATACCCTGTATGCCGTTAGCTCAGTCGAGACAACTATTCCATATTAATCAGTCAAAAAATGGTCGAGAACTTTACATTGATGAACAATAGATATAATCTTAATCCTCTGAAATGACAACGCAAAAACATGATAACGTGATAACCGTATGTTCATGTATATAGACAAAAGTTATGGTTTACTATCAGGTGGACCGTCCATTTGTTTGTTATTCCAAATGATGGCCTCGGTTGTCGCGGGTTCGATTCCTCGCACGGTACAATCATTTGTATTCATGAGTATGATTGTTTGTATCAGTCTGGGTGTTTTTTTATGTATGTTATATGTATTTATAAAAAAAGTATTTACGCAAGCTATGCTTAGCTTGGGACTAGATAGCGCTGTGTTAATTGTTCAGGGTTATTATTATTATTATTAATTACAGAAAAAATGGCAGTTGATGGACGAATAGACAAAGTGGCATGCTAATGCTTCTATTTTATCTTTTTGTTTCGTAACCCTATAAATTGTTTTTTCTTTCACGAGAATAATAACCATTGATACTTCCGTAAGTCATGGTGCTGAAACAAAAAAATATATATATTAACATTTAAATTTTCACCTCCCTGTTCCTTATTCACTGTGACATTAATTAATCAAAGTCGTATTTAAATGAATGATTAATGAGGGCCAACCCTTGTTTTTCTTTACTTTTCTTATTCTTTACGTATTTTCTTCAACAATGGCTGCGTATTTTACATTAAATTACATTTAAATAATAATCAAATATAAGTCATCTAACTCAATAAAAATGAGCTTAAAGGACTGAGTGAAAATTTACTTATTCATAACACCTTTTACTTCATCCCATCCGAACAACAATACAACAACAATTCAACGAGCATTCAAATACCCTTGATATTTCAGGAATCTATAGCCGTAATCGTGTTTTTTTTATGTAATTGCAATGGCAAATAAGCTGATGGTCCACCTGATGGTAAACGGTAACCGTCGTCTATATACCATCCATATCAAGTTATAATGTCACACGCATGATATCACTTATACGTTGCCGTTCCGGATGGCCAAAGTATATTCTGTTAGTAATGTTATATAACTTCGCTTCTTATTACGCTTTTATTACTTGGAGAAAATCTTCAAGGACCCATCAGTCTAGGGGAGGCAAGCGTGACCGCTTGCCTTGTGATATTTCTAGTCACTAAAAACCCCAAGATCGTTGAACGATCTCGTCCAACGTTGCTTTGGACCGAACTTCTCTCCCCTTCTTCCCTGAGTAAGTAATTTCACTATCTAATCTGACCCTACAATCGTAACATATCGCACATCCCGTGTAAAAAGGCCGCAACTACACTTGCGTCAAAAATGTTTTATTACATAAATAAATCGAGCTTCACGGTTTACACCTTCTGTCAAAATCTCATGAAGCTATCGACAAAAATGAAGGAATAAATGCAAAAATACTAAAATTTTGCGACTTTAGAAAACATAAAATTCCAGCATAAAATAGAGGTATGCATATTTGCATTTATTCGCTTTACAATTATCCCGCTCATAAAGTCATAATTGTATTTACGTAAATTTTAAAAGAAGATTTACAAGAAAATGTATAACGTAAATATACTTAAATACTTGTTCCTATATCTTACAATCTAGGACTATTGTGTAATTCTAATTACTTACTTCTTCTACGAAACTTTTAGCTGATAGTTTATGTGTGATTATTGTTACATACTTTCCGCCCAGCAAAATTTCACAATGCCTAAAGTGTAGTTGTAGTTACTTCTTTATTACACGTAACATTTCATACCTGATGTTGGGTAATTTTGAATACATGCAAGAAAAAAAAAATTAAGAATACGTTCATGTAATTAAAATTAAGTAAAAAATAAACTATTTTTAGCTAATTGTATAAGCTGACGGCGCACCAATGATGGATGACAGGAGGAGCAGGAGACCAGGTGAATTTGCCAGGAATAGTAATAATAAATGATAGAAAAATCGATCTGCTTTTAGACATTTACCATAGCAGAGCGAATTGATAGAAGTGTATATAAAAACAATAGATAAAAAGTGTACTTCTATTTTAAATATGGATAAACGAATATACAATTGGCAGTGAATCTTATTGTAGGTCTAATAGGAATTACGATGGAACTACGATGGTTTCCAGGATGGACCGCGTAGAACTGAATGTACCTTATACTGCTAGCAGTAATATTCAATATTAATTCCCACTGCTCATAATAGATACTAGCTGATCCCGCAAACGTTACTTTGTTATAAATTACTAGCTGTGCCCGCGGTTTCACCCGCGTTAAATTTCAATAAAAAATATATCCTGTGTTATTCAGATGCATAAGCTATATTAGTGTAAAGTTTCGTAAAAATCCATTCAGTAGTTTTTGCGTGAAAGAGCAACAAAGATCCATACTTACAAACTTTCGCGTTTAGAATATTATATTAAGATTAAGATTTCTGAAAACTATTAAAGTACTAATCATCATAATTTCAACTTGTGTTGATCAGCAAGGTCAACATACTAATAGACCAATACATAAAGAATCGCATTATCTCCGCAATCTAACAAAGATAAATTCTAGATGAAAAGCATAATTGCACTAAAATTCATCGTTTATACTTATAGTGCATTAAGAAAAACCCAGATTATGAAAATGTTACTCCAACCTCTGAGAGATGGTACTATAATATTAGGTCCTTACATATGAAATTGGTGTTTTGTCGTACTGGCCACTTTGATCTCAAGTATCTCCTCTTTCGCCAGGAATTCAAATTACAAATTTGTACAGTTATTTACTCATGCATTTGTTTTTCGAAAACCGTAATCTATATGTTTTTCCATCTTTGGTTTTTTCTTTACGTCACTCAGTTTACAAAATGGAAAACATAAAATATCCCGTTTTTTAAGGGTACGAATTCCGTCGTGGCACCAGTGTGCAGAAACGACTCGAAGAATTAATAATGTGTATGGTGATGGTGTCGCAAATGAAAACACAGTGCGTTTTCGGTTTCAATGTTTTCGTTCTGGAAATTTCGATCTGCAAAACAAGCCCCGTGAGCAGCCAGAGTCCAAGGTTGATAATGAAGAATTAAAGGCTAATGTGGAAGCGGATCCATCGCTAACCACGTCCGAGTTAACTACAGGCTGCAGTGTTAGTAACAAAACTGTTTTAATCCACTTCAAGCAAATTGGGAAGGTGAAAAAAGCTTGAAAGGTGGATCATGAATTGAATGGAGCAAATTGACAAACGTGCGTAGACTGCTGCGTTACATTAGCCAACCGGCATAATAATGAAGGGATTTTAAATCGAATCATTACCTGTTATGAAAAGTGAATCTTGAACGATAATCGGAAACACTCATCGCAATGTCTGAATCCTAGCAAATCAACCAAATCCTGCCCCAAGATATAATTCAAACTCAAAAAAAGTTACTTGTGAGCGTTTAGTGGACCAGAGCCTGTGTTGTTCACTTCAGCTTTCTTAAATCTGGTCAGACGATTACGGCAGATGTGTATTGTCAGCAATTGCAAACCATGATGGAAAAGCTAGCTGCTAAACAACCGAGACTGGTCAATCACCGTAGGCCACTGCTGCTTCAGGACAACGTTACGAAATTAGAAGAGCTTCAAATGTCCAATATATCCACCGTACTTCCCGGATCTTGCTGCTTTCTTTCAAAATTTGGATAATTTCTTGCAAGGGAAAAAATTCAAGTCCGATTTATCGATTCCCGTCCTATTGGTTTTTTAGTAAAGGGATCAATAAAACTACCTATCAAATGGAAAAAGTGCATAAATAGCAATGGACTATATTTTGATTAAATAAATAGGTATATTATATTTTGAAAAATCAACTGAAATTGGCGTTTTGTAAGGGAGTTACTCCCTTACAAATTTCATATGTTAGGACCTAATATATTTACTACACGAGTTGGAGTAAAATTAAAGAGATTTCGGCAGATCCTCAATGTTCGGGGAAATTCCAAATAAAATACGCATTCGCTGACGAGACACCAATCATTGTAGACAAATAGAAGCGGAAGAGTTATGAGAAAAAAAGAGCTGCACACAGCGAGCCTTCTGAAATCAGGCATTAGTATGATGCGCCGCTACCGATACCTAAAATATATATAAAGACTTGATGAATCTATATAAAGATAATAACATACCACTACACTATCAGACTTTTTATAAGAGCTTAAGTACTAAATCTGCTACCACAGAGTCCGATTCCAAAGTTGAGGATAATGAAGGTTAATAAAAATATCACTATTTTGAACATTTTTTGATTAAGCTGATTATGGAGGCAATAAACATTTCTTTAAAAATAATAAAAAAATAATAATAACCCTGCTTGTTTTCATATTCTCTAAATTAATCTGACCCTATATTTATACTTTTGACTTACATGCACGCACATAATGGACTATATACTATAAGAAGTAGGTATTACATGATACAAATTAAATATTCAGTTACTTTCCGCATTATAAAAGCTATTTTTATAAATACACTAAATAAACTAAAATAAATAGCTCCCTAGAAATACGTAACTCGATGTACAAAAAATGATTTTCCGTTAAATAACAACGTAATTATACTTGCAACTCTAGATTATAATGAAATATAGAAAAGTATAAAGGCGTAAGTAGAGTTAAATTTGTTCATATATTTCAAAATACATAACAAAAAAGCAATAATTGTAGTTACCCCTGCAAATGTTCTTTGTGTTTCGTGGAATACAGAAGTAACCGTGTTTTTTTAGATTATCTGGAAGTACATGAAGCTGTTCCTAAATTAAATAGCACATGTAGTTGAAGGCAACTGTGACCTACGATTTTCTCTTTGAAACTTATTTCTAGAACTCATACAAAAAATATGGGACAGTTTTTTTTAGCTCCTGAAAAGTTGGTGAAAATCACTTACTTCCTTTTTCCAGGAATAGTGCGATATGTTACTAACCAAACTACTTGGTAATTGAAATAGGTGAGACTGATATCACAATGCAGACCTTTTGTTCTACGACTTTTAGTCTACCTCATCACAGTGTTTTTAAGTTCTTAATATGAAGAGAAACTAAAGAGTCTAAGTATGTAAAAACATACTTAGACTCTTTAGTTTCTCTTTAGTCGAATACTCTGATCATAACAGGTTAATAAAGTTGAAATGGTTTTACTAATACTCACATTCTCATTAATTTCGCTTTGTATATCTGTTTAATGACAATTCGATAATTGTTTAAATCCAATAACTAACCAAATTAGACGGTTGTCATAGCGTAACATGTGAAACGTAAGCGAAATGTGGGTTTGTCTAAATATTACAAATGTGTCCGTGCATTTGTTACCTACCTTTTCACGACTTTGAACGGAAAGGTCCTAAAATGGAATTTGTAGTTAAAAAAATTAAACTAGCAAAGTAGCGAGCAGCAGTTAGTCAAAATTCGCAAGAATGCAAATATTGTAGTGATCTCTCTTTTGTTTACTAAAAAATTACTAAGTTTCTTTCTAGAGGTGAAATAATTATAAATAACTAATACAAACAAATACAATCAAATCTTTCCTTCTATATATTTTTTTTAATTTATTTTACCTTTTATATTATTATTTATATTACTATAAATAAAAAGAATCAAATTATTAAATAAAAAATTGCACAACATTATTATCCTGTTATTGCTATAAATGTAAATATTATAATTATCCGAATATAGTGAAAAAATACTAAATAACTGCTAAAGCTTAAGAAATAAAAGCCATTTTATGGTTTTTTATATCTGAAAATTTATTATAATTGTCCGTTTTTCTGGCTAAATCCGAACAAAGCTGGCTTATCTCAAATTATGTTACTTCTGGAGTAGATTTCTTTTAAGTTAGCTGAATTACTTGGATGAGCTTATTTTTTTGTTCTTCTATTTTACCTTTGTATAAAGTCTACCAGACTTTATACAAAGTCTGTGTGCATGTCTCCACCTAACCACCGTCACCAAAAGTCTATATAAGACAGAAGATTGTGGAAATTAGTTATGCAAAAGTTTCATCAATGTAATTCTACAATAAAACTTATTTTTTTTTATTAAATTCATATTCAATATTGCTCCTCCTATTTCTTCTATTTGTGTATTTTTTTACGTATAATTCATGAATTATTTATCTATTGCTTGATATTGAGGAATAAAATATTTATTTACATAGAGAATATTCAGCAAGTCAAGGATGACTTTAATGAATTGGGTTTCCTTATTATTTAGATTCGATTTACTAACGAAATTTATATTATTTTACACTTGTATTAGTTTTGTTTAGTTCCGATACCATTAGCATATGTGAGACCACAAATATTAAGTGTGGAAACCTGACCACAGCTACTGGAAGTGTTGCGACCTTCTCTATTAGCGATCAAATTCCGCTCGTTATTGAATCTACAGCTATATTGCGACACGTGTTTCGCCTTTGAACGCATCATCAGGTATTGAATAGAGTTCGGATATAGCTTGGAAGCCTAGTGTTGACTGTTCGTCGACGAAACGTCGACTTAGGTTGGATTTGAGGCCTTGAAAGTTGGCATATAATATTTAATACGGTAAATGTTTTAGTTAAAGCAGAAAACTGAATGACTATATCTTAGTATACCTTAACGACTATTAGAACTGGTGGGAAATCAGAGGCCTCATCAACTGTTGAAATCGTTGTTATATTATTTTTACCAAACATTACCGCATTTCGTTGAGTATTATTAAATATAGCTTTGCGGGGATACTTACTAATTAATAAATAAAAATAATGTACCAATTGTGTTTCTTGCTCGTCCTTCTCAACTGTAGTAGCGAGAAGAACTGGACGGTAGGGATAGTGATAAAAATATGCACATGCATATCAAGGTTTCTTAAGAGTCGGCAACGCGCATGTGACACCCCTAGTGTCTCAGGCATCCATAGGCTACGGTAACCATTTACCATCAGATGGGCCGTATGCTTGTTTGCCACCATCAAAGTAAAAAAAATATCGTATGAAAAAAATTGGAACCGCTGAACAACGTCAGGTTGACTTCCATGTGGTCCCAATAGAAACCATAGTACTTTTATTGTCTTTCTAAGGTTGCACCACTAAATTATAATTCCTGATAAATTCGCCACGACGGATTAAGCATTTCTAATAATCCTATTTAATTGTTTATTTCCCAGGCCCAATCCAAACTTTCTAACGTCGATACGTTTACTTTTGACCTTGTAATTTTTTTTATCAAATGTAATATTGTAATTTGAAACCTCGTTGGAACGAAGTATTTTATATAACACATAAAATTTTCACCTTTTTTGTGATCAAGTCAAATTTATTCTAAAGCTTAGGATAAATCTCTTGGGAATAACACTGTTTATGTTAACATCCAATTTATTTTGTACCGGTGTCATCCTCGAATGTACCACAGAATATTCCATTTAAGCTTTTCAGGTGAGAGTCAATGGTATGTCGCTCATGGGACCACATACAATTAGGGTCTAAGTTGAAAATGATGTCGCGCTGAAATATAAAGACCTTTTGGGACCCAGCAATTTTAAAGCAGAATTTATTCCACTTGAATTAAAAGCAACTGTTTTTTATACAGTATAAAAAAACTGTTGCTTTTAATTAAAGTCGGTCAATTTAGTAAATAATTTCAGTGGTAATATTTAAAGTACAATCCTCAGAAATAGCACATACCTATTATATATATATCAAACGTGGAGTCTAAATTTATTATCAATTTGATTGAATGTATAATTTACTTGCCGTGAAATATATTTCGGGTATGCATTGATGTTTTAAAAATATATATCTTGTTTTATTTATACAAAAAGTTTTAATTTTGTTCAAATCTATTTACGTATAATTAAAAATGTAGATATTTATAGTAATAGGTACGTACATATATGCTCGAGTAGATTTGTTAATGGTTACTTCTATTTCACCAATTTCTGCTGCCAAAGCTTTAAAGGCATAGTAACATTACAGGATATAGAGGCATCACACCTCCCTTGGTTTGGAAATTCATTAGTGGTATTCTAGATACCACATGATATCCAAGTCGCTGTTCATGGATTGCCCAATTTTTAATCCTGCTTACAATATTAAAATCAAATCAAATCAAAATATTCATGTAGGTCTATTACACACTCTTATGATATGTCAAATCTACCGTCAACTTGGAGTGCTTTGGAGCTCACGAGAAACTCAGCTCTTATTCTTTTTAAATGAGCTTGTACATGTTTACAAAAACACAGTTACATTTCTAAATTCAAAGTTTGGAGAACAGAGTGCATAACATATCAGCTTATGCTATTGCAATTATAAAGCATACGATATTGTCAAAAAGAAATAGTTTATTCGTTGCCCGTAACCTGAATTAATGTATTAATTTATTTACAATTCATTTATTCATTATGTCCTTTCCCTTTTGTATTAACTTATATTTCTTTGAAAAGCATGTTGGTATATGATACTAATTACGACTTATAATCAATACAAACTTCTTAATATCATCATTAATATTATTAACATTGTCATTATTTGTTTAGATCACGTGGGTGGACAGCAATGGAGGCGTTTTGACACAGGGCGTTACATATACCGTGGAATCATTATCGGACGGACAAAGATTTACAGCCAGGTATGTTTTATTGTTCATAATTTTATACCTAATTATCATTGCATTATGGTCAAAATTATGAAATGAATGAACGCTTTTCATATATAATATTAGCTTTTGTTTGCTGGAGGAATATTTCAAAGTTTACGCTGTGCAATATTGAAATAAAAATGGATAGAATTTATTGTATATCTGAATTTAATAGTGACGTCACGGAATGTTCGAGAAGAATTGAGAAAATGTATCTAAAGTAAAACAAAACAACATCGATGTTCCATGAGTGACGTTCCAATATTAGAATTTTATAATTTTATTTTTAAATGTATTATATGGCTATTTGCGAACGCAAACAGCTTTTGAAAAAAATATAGTAAAATCAAATATGGAATGCTAAATAATTAACAATAATTTGCCATTATCTTTTCATTCAGTACGCTCTTGACAGAATTTTGATTTTTTTTATTTAGAAAAAATGACTTCTACGAGTCCCTCCCACTGGCTGTTCGCTTAAATCTTCAAAATTAGGCAACGGATTTTAATGCACTTTTTAGAAATAGATAGAGAAATTTAAGAGGAAAGTTTATATGTATAATACAAATATACCCGTGTGAAGCCGGGGCGAGTAGCTAGCATATTTATAAAAGTACCGTATAAACTTTTAATAAATTCAAAAGTTAAATGCAATATGTCTCAGCTAGCAGTCTTCATTTCAATAATTTCAGTTGCTTAGAGGCCACGTACAAAGATAACATTTATGAATAATGCTTATGTTAGAAACTTGTCTTGAAATAACTTCGTCTTCGTATTCTTGCTGTTAAGTTTGTATATTTTGGTGTACGAATACGTTAATAACTGTATTCCTGTGTTTGTTAATACGATTATACATCGTACCACTCCCTAATAGTATTATAAATGTTTAGTACTTTACTATTTTCATAAATTTAACAAAATTCTGACTGGAGCGAGATCTCTACAACTGTTTAATTAAAAGCTGTAATCAAATCAAAATTCATTTATTTATGTAGGACATTTTAGCTCCTTATGAACACCAAATTTTTTAATGGTATTTTTTTGCCTACCATCCAGTTTAGTATACAAATTCAGTTGAGAAGAACTGGCAAGAAATTCAACAGAATATCTTTTTTTTAAAGCCATATTATTTACATTATGAATTTATGTAGGTGGCCATGTATATTTCCCAACAGCATGTATAATTATAAGCTATAAGCAAGTCAAATGAGACTGAAAAAAAAGCTTTAAAAATAATACAAATATTTATAATAAAAAAAGAATGGCAAGCTGCCAGCAACAAAAATAATAATAGGAGTTTCCTTTTTAAATAATAATAACTTAAACTGTAAATTGTATATTTATATATTGTTATACAATACTGTATAATTATTTACATTATTTAATCTTGTGCTACTGTATAATTATCTATCGATACTCTATAACATGTTATGTAATATTATAATTAAATATTAATAATGTTGTAGGATGTAGGAACTAATTAGAATAATGTTACCATCACTCGAGGATGTTTACTATGTATATTATGTATGTATTTACAAAAATAAATCTATTTAAGTATATTAATGGTTGTTTACTACCCAGAACACAAGCTGTGCTTAGGTTGAAACTAGATGGCGCTGTGTGAATTATCTATGGTTATTTATTTAATATATTAATGTGACCATTAGAAATATAATGGTTAGTATTTATGAAATCATCACTTTTACAAGGTGTTATGCATGTTTTTTTAAATAAAAATTCTTCACGAGTTAGATAGGTAGGTAAATATTATTATTATTAATTTGTAATGTTATTGCCATTATTATTATTATTACTTTTTTTACTATTCTGCACTAGTGCCACATACTACCTTTTGTATTTTCTCTTCTACCCAATTATTGTTTGGAACAGTTGGCATAAGCGATAAGACCGCCTTTTGATTATTTTGTATTACTATGATAATTTTGATTACTGTAATATGTCTAATGCAATAAAGACTATAAAAATAATATTGTTTCACATCTTATGCGTCAACATACTATCAGCGTTTAATTTGAAAAAATATAATTATAGCAATTGACATAGTGCTTATTACGTATGAAGCTACTTTCGCTATGTTTAGAAAACTTAATCACGCACTGTCAGAAAATTTGGTCTTTCATTCATCAACACAGTGTTGTTAGTAATTAAAGTGACTACAAAATATTTGATGACATACAAATTTGAACTTACGACATTTGAGGTGGAGGTAATAGCTTAATGATCTACTGGAGTAGTGGATCATTAGGCTATTAAGATCTTACTAGCTGACCCGCGCTATTTCTGCTTCAAACTTACTTGACATATATCATTATATTTCGCCCAATTTACATAATACCGGATTAAATTATAGCGTACGTGTTATTTTCATGTATAAGCAAAATTACTGTAAAATTTTATCAAAATTAGTATCCGTTCAGTAGTATTTGCGTGAAAGAGTAACAAAATAGAATAGAAAATCCTTTATTAAAATAAACTTAATTTAAGCACTTTGAATAGTCACAGTTATCATTCTTTTAATCTACTCATTCGGATAGATATCTCACAAGAAGAACGAGCAAGAAACTTGCTTATTGCTCTTTTAAATAATAATGTTGTACATAACTTTACATTGTTAAGTCGAAACGTGTGAATACAAACTACCAACTAGCACTAATTTATTAGGATCTAATATTAACAAACATCCATCAATATTCACAAACTTTCGCTTTTAATTATAAAGATTACTTTGTAAGATAAATGTTCTAATATGATGTTTATTTACAGATCAATACTCAAGATGAAACCTAAACGAGAGCACAACAATCAAACATACACGTGTCAGGCCCAAAATACAGCAGACAGGGCTTACAGAGCTGCCAGTATAGTTATTGAGGTCAGTATAATTGAAATATCTTGTACAATTAATAACTCAAACACATAATAACTTAAGTTTAGTTACATTTTATTATACATTTTATTTTTCTTAGATAACTAAAATGTTCTGAATGAATATTTTTCTTTTCTTTCCTTCTGTCTTGCACCTATTTACTCAACTTGTTTGTTCATATCTTCTTGAAAGAACAAATCGTACATATTAATTTTATTATGTCGTGATTATGTTTCAAAAATAGTAGAAAAATTGATTGTACTAAAAATTCTGTTATGCACCTGATCTGTCAAAAGGTGAGAAAAGGCAGCTAAATTAAAGAATCGCCCTAATCTGACGCAATAGCAATGCTTGAGAATATATCCTTATTCCTGAAAATGAAGTCATATTTTTTTGTCGTTCGAACAAAATTTTATCGCAAACATTACATAAAATATTATTGTTGACAATTTTAAGTACCTACAACAATATGATTATTCTATGTAAGTATATATTGAATGTGTATCCCTTAAAATGATATTCACCATTATTGAGGCTATGCTATACTTACATATATTAAGTTGGCTTGACTACTATCTTATTCTACCAATATGCAGATTTATGCCATTAGTCTTATGCCTTGCGGTTTGAGATAATATCTGTAAGTTTCGAATAAAGCATCCCGAGAGACTCATTTGGGTATTCGCTAACATTATCACAGATATATACATATTATATATACGAGTATATTACAAGGCTATACCGTGCAATATGATTTTAATTATATATCGTTTATCTATACTAATATTACAAAGCTGAAGAGTTTTCTTGTTTGTTTGTTTGTTTGAATGCGCTAATCTCAGGAACTACTGGTTTGAATTAAAAAATTGGTTTTGTGTTAGATAGTCCATTTCTCGAGGAAAACTTTAAGCTATATAACATTACGCTACGGCCAATAGAAGCGGAGCTGCAGTGAAAAATATTGTAAAAGGTGGGGAAATTAAATTATTAAATAAATTAATTATCAATAGTAGATGGCGCATTTCAAAGTAATAAGAAAAGTAAATATTTTTTATACAATATCTTTAGCCTACATGTAGACATATTTAACAACATATTCTGTTAAAATTTAATTCAAATCCTTCAAGTCATTTCTACGTAAAACTGTAACACACAATTAAGTTTATTCTTCGTAACAATTTTCTAGTATGTAAAGTTAAAATTTTAGGTATTAAAATTAAAAAAAAATAAAAATGATATTATATATACATATATAAATCACAGAAGCCATTCAAAATTACTTGAATTTTTATAATGTTCATATTATGTAATAAAATATGTCGTAATATCGATTTGGATATTCAGTTATGTTGTTGTGATATTGCAATAAATAAATAAATAATAATTTTAAAGTCAAATTCTATTAAATTACTAATCTACAAGTTATCGTGCTACATTATTAATGTTGCTCCATATAAATTAATTGTGGAAAGTATTATCCAAAAATATTGATAACCGTCTAAAACGCTAAGAATGAACAGGTATCGTAAAATTAAACGACCGATACCATTCCGGTGATTGGTGTGGTCAGTAATTAAAGCACCAACACGTTGGACAAACGCGTTAGAACATTCAACCAACATTAGAATAACCAACCACATGTTTTGATCATTGACAGTCAAAATAGTCGACGAGTTGCCATTATTAAAAAAATAGAAGAATATAGTTAATATTTGCCATATTGCCAAACATAGAATCCAATATTGGCCATCTATATCAACATATATCTTCATTTCTAGACAATAAAAACAGTTACAAGCTAAAAATCTGTCTCTTTCCAACGACCATATAACGGTATTTGCAGCACCTTTAGTCGCTAGCTTTACAAATATAAGTATTAATTCATGACAATTTGCATTGGTCTGTGTATCTTATAAAAAAAATGCATCACAGGCCTAGTAGTCATATTACGAACACAAGTTGTGCTTACTTCGCAACATAATAATGAAATAAATAAAAATACACAATAACTTTTATTTTGGAATATTTAAGTTAAGTAACATTTTATCTACAACCCCACACTAGGCTATGTCTGTATCGTGGAAGTCAAAGCAAATTAAATTATAACATTGATACGACAATAATATGGTTATATTTTTAAATCGTTAGTTTTCAATAGATCATCAGATTATTCTCCTTTTCATCATTTTTAATTCTATAATAATGAAATTTCTCTCATTTTCTGAGACTACTATTTCTATACGTTTATCGAACTGGTAACACAGAACGAAAACGCGTTAAACTGGAAACAGTACCTTTTATAGTCGAAGGCATTGGCCCAACGTGTACTGGGGTATTCACGTCGCATCCGTTTGTAGATCCATCTAAATTTAAATCTACTTCTAATATTTAAATTTTATTAAAGGAAACATTAGAAGCTTAGAAGAATTTTAAATCGCTTCGTCTCGTTTTACAGTTATCGTTAATTTAATACTAACAATGTTTGAATGTGTCTGTGAATGTGTTAGAATACAAACATCTTCCTTTTGCTTTAAATATAAACATTTACTTAATAATGGCAATAAATTACTATAATTCATAGGAATTTTAGTGTAATTAATTAATCATTAAGTTAATTAAACGCAGGGAAATACTGTTGGATTTTTTAACGGCTTCTAACAAAAGTTAAATTTATATAAAAATTTAAATTGTCAATACTAATATAATATTTATCTCTATAATATTATTATCCATCTATATAATATTTAGTTATCTGCTCAAAAGATATCACCAACAGTACTTAAATCCATCCATTACATAGTGCTAATGTACTGTCTACTTCTAGAGATTAATAGTGTTTCCATCATCGAAGAGTTTAAAAGATACACAAAATTTTCGATACCGCCAAAATAGAATCTCAACCGTACCTTAGAGTTCAATAAATGGTCGGAGTAAATCATAAGGTCATGAAGCTTTAATATATTATTTCAATTATTGTTGTAAACTAGCTTCTGCTTGTTATTTCGCTCGTGAGATAACAAACCGGAGTAAAATTAGACTATGTTTTTCCCCATCTCAAATGCTACGTTTATACAATATTTTGCATATTGATAATTAATGAAGACATTGATAAGTTGTAAAACGTAATAAACTCGGATTTGAATTAAAAAAATCTGTTCTTATAATTTTTAATCAACTTAAAAATGGAGTAGATATTCAATTAAAAAAAATGTTTTAAAATTCAAATATATTTTTATTCGTAGATTTATGAAAAAATACACTTGAATATCATAACATTGTTTAATGTCAACAAATTTTGCCCATTCTACTTTTATTTGAAAATTGATATTTCTTAAATAATTCCATATAAATGGGAACTTATTTTCATAATTCTCGCATTATCTGAAAGATGATATTTCTTGTGATATTCTATACAAAATTGGTTAAGACCTACCTTTAACTTGGGGGTGGGCAGCGCGTACGTGACATCTCTGGTGTTTCAGGCGTCCATAGGCTACGGTAACCATTTACTGTAGTCCGTATGCTTGATTGCTACCATCGTAGTGATAATAATAACCCAAGACAGCTCACACAGCATCTTCTAGCTCCAAGCTAAGCAAAGTTCCTATTATAGGTACTGACGACGGATACATTTTTTTGTAAATACACACATAGAAAACATTCAGGCCGATATAAAGTAAATAGTATAAGAAAGATACCTTTTTGAATTATCGTTAACAATGCAATTGAAATCCTTTGTGGTCTGAGTACGATTTTATAAGATTAACTTGGTAGATACTATAATACTTTTAGGTGTTCTAAAATATTTACATACGTGTTACCTACAAATAGTAATGTTAGGTAATATATTTTCAGCAAGCTGCTACGTGTAAATACGATTCATCCAGATTTAGAACGTCGCCATGTGGCTAAGCGGTCTGGCTGGTACAAATTACGGACTGGAAATGTTCTAGATGTTCTAGTTTAAATTAGACTAAAACTGTTCTGGAGCCTTCGTTATAAAGTTTTTTTTTTAGCTTGTCAAAGTAGAGGTTTGTGTTTGTAATTGAAGTTAAAGTAGTTGGGGATACTAACGTTTTTTAACTCTGGTCAGTTCAAACGACGCCATATAAGCCCAAGCTAATCAAAGCTTATAAGCTCTAGACAATTGATATAATTATTTAAATATTTTTTTTCCAATCTATCCAGAGCTTTTGTTGAGTATAAATACATACATCATATACATAGAAAACACCCAGACAAATACAAACAATCATACTCATAAATACAAATGTTTTTACCGTGCGAGAAATCGAAACCGCGACCGACGGAAGAAAAGCGTATGGTAAACCGCTCGACCACCGCAACCGTAAAATCATGCATTGCCATTCTCGAGAAATAGTGTTTTGCCTCCGTACTCCATATTATCACTGTCGTATAATTCTTTCACGCCTGAAAAAATTACAAAGTAAGCTGCTTGGCTGCAGAAGTAGGTCGCTTAAAAAACTCGACACGGTACTTCTTTCTCATTTATTTCAGCCGCTAAGGAGTTTGCTTTGTATGTTAAGTTCTGTTTGAAGGGTGATATATGACTGTCCAATTACAGGTTACAAAGGGATAGTACCATATTCTTCATAATAGCAGAATCAAATTAAGACTAGATATTCATGGTACTGTTCATGTGTAAGTATATAGAAGATGCTATTTACCATCAAGTCGACCGTCTGCTTGGTATCTCTTTGTAAAAGATATCCATATTAAATTAAATATTAGTAAAAAGCTTTTTCAAATGACGAATATATTACAAACTATCAAAAATTAACGTGTCCGCAGTAAAGTGAAGCACATCGACACGTACTGCTGACGACTAGAACATTACTAGGGTAGGGATGGATAAATATCGATGTTTATGAAACATTTTCCTTTCTTGATTAATTTCGTCGATGTTCTCGGTAACTTAGCCTATATACTTCTATCTATCGATATTACTGTGTGTATACATACGTGTATAACACAGACTAAAATAG